GAAGGGATATGAACACATGTGATGACATTTCCTTGCTGTCCACCTGCTTCTGCAGCACCAGCTCCTGTCCCAGGTGGTTTCCAGAGTCTGCATCCTGTCTTCTTGCATTCTCAGTGCATGTTAGGGGATTCTGGTAGACACACCTGAACAGCTTCTTCAACAAAGAACTTTCCTGAAGATTTTGGCTTTTTTGGATGCATGATAACCACAAACACAAAGGTTTTCCAGGTGCTCCAGGGTACCATGGAGTTTTGGTTGAGGTACCAAATATCCATAAGAACACATCAAGACCTCTGTGGACAGTGCATTTTAGTGGGAAAATGCCTGGTCACTTGAGGAAAATAGTGGCTGGTACAGAAATACTGTGCACAGAGGTGGCAGGGTCTCTGCTCCTGCCTGAAGTGTATGTGACTTCCAAGCACCAGAGTGGGGCCCAGTGCAATAGAGTACCTTACAAACTGAAAGGTGGGACAAGGAGTGGAAGCCACCAGCTAGAATGATCACTAGCACAGACTCTGCTCCTCAGGGTTAGGCTAGAGTATGGATGCAAGTCAAACAACCAGATAAATATATCTGTAGAGCCATATGCAAGTACAAAGTGGCTGTCTTGTGGCAGCTAAAATTATGGTGTCGTTTCATGATCTTGAAGTGCTTATCCTTGCAAACACTGTGTTTTACTTAACAGAAGTGCATACATATGCACTTATACAGAGAGACAGTTTACAAGCAGAGATGAATATTTGCAAAAGATGTTTACCCTACATTTCCTCATATAGAACCTTGTTTTCAATGATCTCAAACCCACCAATCTTCAGGTCTTAAATCTGACTCACTGGTCCTCTCTGGGTGTTTGTGTTACAGAATCATAGAATGGTTTGGGTTGGAAGGGACCTTTAGGATATTCTAGTTTCAACACCCCTGATGAATGTGACTAAAGAAAACATTCTGTGTTTCTTCAGATAACTACTGAGAGGAAGTCCCAAACCTTATGGCTTGTTCCAAGGAGATGCTCCAACCCTCTGTGACATGAGGATATGAGAGATGTAGACACCTGCAACTAAAGACATGTAAGCATATTCTGTTTTCTGAATAGAGAAATGTGGAAAAGAGAGGGGAAAAAAGCACACATAGGTCTCACCAGCATCACTGGCATGTTTGGTGGTGTGACCTGTTGTACTATTGAGTTGTCTTATGTTTTTTCAAGATGAGATGGAGTCTATGAGCAGGATTTCTAATGAATAATCAGCATATAATGTCTGGGTGTTATTTCCCTTTTAGTAGTGGCTGGATATTAATATTTCATGCAGAGAAGCAAAGTGAAATACATTCATGTATGTTGAACATCTGATCTCTGGTCTCTGATAAAGTTTAAGTTCATATTGTCCTCTTCCTCCCTTTGGGAACATGGGCATTATTGCTCTTTTCTAACTGGTGACCACTGTATTGTAAAAATACATTTTTTTCAAAGCCTCTATCTCTGAAAATTGGACAGAAAGTAACCAAAAGCTTCAGAACTTATCTTGAAGAGAGATAAGCTGCTCTTTTGCCTTACCCCATTTGCCTCATGTCCAGACGAATACAAGAGAAAATCCTTTTACCCAGTGCACAGTACTTTTCTTTGAATGTATCCCAAATGATAATATTTGGGGTTGTATCACTCAAGCAATCCACATCCATAATTACAGTGCCATGCATTCCTCAATCCCTGTGTGAGAGAATTAATTGGTACATGGGTTAACCACAGCAGACGGGAAGTGACTGCTCTCATGTTCTTGGATCGCAGGCTGCTGCCTGGCAAAGAAGTGCTGCCAAGAAGAAGAGCAGGGATGGGATTTGGAGGCTCTTTAAGCACCTAAGCATGCAGAAAAGTGTCTGGTGGGATTTTTCAGATGTGTGTCTATGTCTTCTGAAAATCCCTGTAAACCTGTCTTGGCATTTCTCAGTCTGAGAAGGCCAGTAGATACCTGGTTTCTGCTGCTGGCAGCAGAAGCAGGGAATGAGCAACCCATGAAGGTTTACGCTGGCAGACACTGTGAGGCTTAATGGGAAGGATTAGAACTGACAAAGGTATTATGCAGTCCACAGGTTAGGAAAATCTGCCTGTCAGTCAGAGATGAATCCAAGGAGGTTACGTGGAAGCTGTATAGAGGAGGTGTTGTACCAATGCTGTTGCTGCTCTGGTCCAGTTGGCACCTCCAGGATGCTTTGGTGGGGACTTCCCAGGTTTAAGGGGAAGTCTCGCCACATCCCATTACATCCCATGGGAGAACAGGTACAAAAGCAAAGCTCATTCACACCAACAAAGGCGTAGCTCTCTGATCATAGCTCTCTGATCTACTTCTTTCTAAAAAAGGGAAAGAGACACGTGCCAAGCTGTTGCCCTCTTTCCTAAAAATAAACCCATGAAGTAAAAGAGGATTTGGACAAAAAGATTCTGTGGAGGACACCTTGTGCTGAGCAGCAATGGGGTACTCATCCTGATCTCACCATTCCTCCCAGTGCTGGTCTACACAGCATAAATATCTGCTCCGAGGCATTGCTGGGATCAAAGGAGCAAGTGTGATGGGGCCACAGGTTTTGCTGACAGTGATTAATTGGGAGCCGAAGGTGAGAGCAGGGCTTGGCAGCCCCAAGCTGTGGGTGTAAACTCTTGTGGGAAGGAAAGCAGTACTCAAAACAAAAGCAAATAAATGAGCAAGCAGATAGCACAGCGATGGCTTTGGGCTCTCTCTTTTACCGACAGAAGATGTAAAGCAATGACTCTCAGCTCTGCTTGGGATAGGAAGATCACCAGGCAATGCTCTACTTACTTGCAGCACAAATGTATTTCCAGCAAATCAAGCCTAGATCTGTAGATGCATTGCTCAGCCGAAGGAACCCTGTTTTATTAAAAAGTTTGCCACGGGTGCTAAGTTCTGGCACAAAGAATCCAGCCATCACCTCTGACATTCCTACATGTTGCAGCTTTTTCTTGCAGACTGGGTCTTTTTGTAAAACTACCCAGGAGACTTTTGTACGTGTGAAATTGTCAAGTGCTCAAGAAGATTCAAAAAGGATTGGGATGCAAGCATCAAATTTCGATCATTAGTTACAGTTCTGGCTTTTGACAGAGGATGGGAAATGTTGGCGTACCCTTTTGTATTAACAAGGGAGCTCAAATGCTATTCAGCCTTTTAGTTAAAAGATATCTATAAATAGAAGTCAGATGCTAACAGGGCATAATATTTTACTATCTCACATACAAAAGATCATTCTGAACGCTACCTCATTCCTCACCTTGTTTTTTAAAGGAGGAAATTAAACGAAAAGGACTGTCCTAATCCATCATTAATCCCGTCACTTTCAGAGGCATCCATGAACACTTTGCTGTACCATGGTCAATGACATCAGAAACCCCAGGGATCAATCAGCAACCCACTGGTCTTGACACCATGCTGGTAAGAAGCACATACCATAAAGGTGAGCACTCCTCTTCCAAGAGCATCTTATTCCCTGCCTTCATGCAACCTATTCCAACTGTGTATGCTCCTATTGGGGCAGCAGGTTCGTGCTGGCCCCTGGGATCTGCTCGTAGCTATTTTGAATGCTTCTCAGCCATTCTGCTTTTTAGTACTTTATTACATTGTTTATTTTGCACTCCGCTTTCATTGCTTGGATAAAACTAGCTACCAGTCCCCAGGCTTCCTGAAGGAAAGAAATTACTGAATGCACTGCTTTTCCCAACATAGAGCAAATATTGTGCCAATGATCTCCAGCTTGGAAGCATTCTTTGGCTGCAGCTTTCATGAAAAATCCTGCCTGTTCCATCTATGTGAGGAGTTGTGGCCATTGAAACTGCTGATAAATAGCTCTTCTGAAGGACCAAATGGCAAAGTACCAAAGTATATAAGCAGCTCTCTCCCAGTGCTTTACTTTGTGCTGTCATCATCATCAGGTAAATCCTTTGGCCCAAATTTGAGAAATCAATAGCACTCAGCCAAGAAACCTGTTAATTTTCACTGGACAAATTTTAATAATCTCAGAGGCTTCAAAGATCAGTGACAGACACTTCATTTAAATTTAAAAAGGAGTAGTGCTGTATCTCTCTACTTGATACTAAAGAGTAGGATTCTTCAGATCTGAAGTGCCTGCTCTGGCTCGACAAACAGCAAGTGCTGGTAGATGTTTAGAGGAGGCAGATTAGAAAGGCAGGCAAGAGGATGAATAATTTTGGTGCCGTGGAGTACAGAGTAGAGTTTCCAATAGGCACTTCTACAATCAGCAGATAGAAATATAACTGAATGTTTCCTTATAGTCAAAGGACAGACTTCCAACATGACTCTTCTGTCATGTTACATTATCAGCCGTGCTGAGAAACTCAATAATTGCTCTGCAGGCACTACTGAAGACATACTTGTTGAAATAAATTATAGGGCATTAGGTGGTTGTTAGGCACAGGCTGGAGATAAGCAAGACTGTCTCATGGAGGAAACAAACTGAAACATCATTGCTTTTCTGATTAAAAAAAAGTACTTCTGTGTCAGAATTGGACAAGTACAGGTCAAGCAATTTTTCATGGCAAAACGAACAGAAATGAATTTTCTGCTGTTGGTTTTCTTTCCAAGATGATCAGTTTGGCAACTAATAAATGAGTTTTTGCAATGGGAAATCTGAATGCTTGGAATAGCAAGGCTGCTTTCTACTCACAAGTCAGACTTAGAGAGTATCCTAAGTTGGATGTTGTATAATCAGACATGGAATCTGACTACTTCAATTCAACCAAAAATATGCTACAGACTACTTGCTCACTAGAATGCCTTACAAGACAACCACCACCATCACAGAGATTTATGAAGGTGGAGAAGTGTCCCACACACAATGCTCTCTTTAACCACCTCCCACAGTCCTGAAATAGTGTTCTGCCCACAGACGGTTCTTGGTGACCTTTACTTGCTAGTGTGAGATGATGGCTATTTTGTGGATGCAAAACCATAGATTAACAGGATATGTTTTAGCATTACCTCATGAGACAGGTAAAAGGCAGCAATTCCCAATGGCCAGAAGCAGCAGAGCATGGAGAACACAGTGAGGCCGAGATGATCTCTTGGTGGCATCATTAGGAAATTGTCTTCACTTTCAGTGTCACTCGAGTAGTCACTCTGGAAAAGCAAGAGAGAAACGTAGAAGTGCTGATTAATTATATTACTTCTCCTCTTTCATGGACCGAGTCTGTGATCATCCACTCATAGTAACACCACCAATTGCCCCAGGACATTTTCAAAATAGACTTCTAGCACTCATGGGGGATAGTTTCCGGTGTCCCATCTTGAGGTCTCAATCATGTACATGGTCAGTTCGGAAAGCATTTGTACTCTGATATTCAGGGCCCACACAAGTAAGTGCCAAGAGACTAGAAGACTTCAAGTAACAGCAGAATGCAAGATTGCAACATGAAAGATGTAATCTCAGGGTGGTCCATAATCATTCCCTGTGCCAAATGAGCTGCTCTTTGCAGCCTCCACAAGACAGAAAGAGGACTGTTGCAAAAACTGTGATTGTGACAGTGGATGAAGAGGAGAAATAAACTTTGCTGGGAGAAGGGAGGGGTCTACTTCCCACACAGAGAAATTTAAAATAAAAAATTCAGGTCCATGCATCATGGCACAGAAAATCATTCACACGGGAAGAAGGTAGAAAGAACAACTTCTCTTGTGAGATAAATTTAAGATGTAATTTCTTCACATTCTGTAAGTGCCTCTGTGAGTAGGTAATTTCTGATCAGACAGCTCTGCTGTTCGGCAGAAAAAAAACACAAGAAACCCCAGTAAGTGAAAGCAGAGCAGATGAAGAGCTGACATAAGGTGCAGATTTTTAGCAGGAATGGTGATGAACACTTTTCTGCAGCTATAATGGATTTTCTATTACACCAAGCCCTTTTTAAAATTGAGGCTAGCTATCCCTAAAAGCTGTGTGCTTTATCTAAATCAAGAAACTGTGAATGAGCAAATGCTCTCTAGACAGCCCTTCCTGGGTGCCAGTGGCATGCTGGAGGCTGGACTTGGTGGACACACAGTCCCTTCCAGCAGAAAAATGCAGCTCACGCTAGAGAAGTCGGACAATGAGCTCTGCTGTGAGCCACGGCTGCCTGCAGTCTTTGATGGATTTTCAGAAAACAGCCCTTTTGGTATCACTCCTTTTTTCTCTTCAAAGCAATCATTTCAGTTGCACACACGCTGCATACAAAACTAATCTCTGGTATGGCCCTTTGAAATCTGCTTCAAATCCAGATGGTTCAGGAGTCAGTTTTTGACAATAACCAACTCAAGGTAACTATAAGACAATATGTGCTCTGTTTCCCTCCCCACAATGCATGTTTAGGTGATGTGGTGAACACAGTGCCCTATTCTGACCAGCACTCTGCATCCCTTTGCTCTTCTGCAGTCGGTCTGAGTTCACCTAAATGCAGCAGATGGTGATGGCAGTGTGCTGGATGGCAGCTCTCCCACCAATGGTTGTAGTTTATTACCGCTCGCCTCAGCACACTTACTTCTCACTGAGCAGCATCTGGCTGATGCTTCCTTAGCAGGTTATGCCTCTAAAACCTGTTGCCATCATGGATTTTTTTGGCCTGGCAATGCTTTATTTATTTGCCTGTTTGTTTGTTTGTTTGTTTTTTATTTTTACCATTTGGAGTTTTGCAGTTGCTCCCATTCACTTTTAAAGGTATTTAAACAAAATCCATTATCCTGACCTGGTCCAAACTCCTCTTCCTTCCCCAGCTCCCAGACTAACATGCAGCATCAGTCAAGCAGCCAGCTGTCCAAAATGGGCTCACAGTGCTCTTTCCTTGCTTGGAAAGTTTTCATGCTTGACTTTACAAAGCCAAAATGTTTCAGGAGGAAAAAAGTCCTTGATGAATATGTCCAAGTCCATTCTTTCTCCTGTGCCCCTGGATTTTGATCAACTGCTCGTGATGCTCTCTAGACACCCACAGATAGTCTACCTACAGTTCATCAGCAGCATGCATTCAACGCATTGCTTCTGGAAGGGGATTACCACAGACAACAATAAACAAATCCATACAAGACCAGGCCAGCTGCCATAGTCTCTTAAATCACAATCTTTATCCTGAGGAGCAGTAATAACAGCCATAAAGTAAATATCCCTAATCTGAGCATGAGTGACAGGGGCTCCCATACAACAGCCCTCTGCATCCATTGGAAGGTACTCATGGATCACAGCATTCTTGTGACTTTGCAGATCACTCTTGTGACCAGCTGCCACAACAAGATTAGGGAGATACCTCTATTCCCTGAGGCACATTAACTGAAAAAGTAATATTACACAGCTCAACCTAAGGGAGTCAGCATCCACTAATGTCCTCTTTTTCTCTTACATCTGACCCACTGCTGTGGCCTGTTAATAATTTGTCTATGAAGGCAAAGGGACATAAAGTGTGTTCTGGGGAGTAGGATCAGTGGTCCATCAAGCCCTGGGCTCTGCTTCTGCCAGCAACTGCTGGATGTACTCTGCAGGGAGCTCATGTAATCCTGGACACTGTGTATCCACCCCTTGTTCTCTTCCAGCATCCACGACTGTTGCTTGAAAGATACCAGCAAGAAAAGCTGTACCAATTTCTTTTAATACCTTTCTATGTGTTCTTTGTCCATGAATCAGTCTAATTGCTTCCTCACATGTGAAGAAAAATTCTCTGTTATCTGTGTTAAGACAGCTCCCTCAGGTTTCCCCTGCTTCTACTATTGCAGGTTTGCTGAGCAGCAGGTCTGCACTCATCTTGTTCTTCACCTTCATGGTCTTGTACAAGCAGGGGACTTCACATCCCTTAGCTTTCTCCTCTATCAAATGGAGCATCTATTCAAAAGAAAGGCTGCAAAGATAGAGAAGGGTCTGCATGACGAGCTGTATGAGGAGCGTGGAGGCCCCTGAATTTGCTCAGTGCAGAGCAGAGGAGCTGAGGGGAAGCCTCATGGCAGCTGCAGCTCCTCACAGGGAGCAGAGAGCAGCGCTGAGAGAAGAGCATGGAGCTGTGTCAGAGGAAGGGCAGCTAGGGGATAGGGACAGGTTCTTTGTTGAGAGGAAGGTTGGGCACTGGAACAGTCTACTCAGGGAAGAGGATATGGCATGGAACTTGCCAGAGTTCATGAAGCGTCTGGACGTCGCTCTCAAACACTGGGTTTGGGTGGTGCAACGTGGAGCGGGGAGTTGAAATACTCATGGGTCCCTTCTAACTAAGGACATTCTATGATTTTGTTGCTCTTATCTATCTCCTTCAGAAGTGGGGACCACAAATACTCGTACCATGTGGAAAGTGGGTTGCAGTGAGCTTTCAGACATCAACAAAATGCTGCCGGCACCCTATCTCATCCCTGATAACATTCTTTACCATATCCAATATTTTGCTGACTTATCAGCTTGGCCTCTGCACTCCGTGCTCTGAGACCAGTTTCTTCCCCGAGCTGCAGCTCACAGATACAAGCGCAGCACTGAGTCCACATGAATTTCATTATTTTTCCATAAACATATTTGTTTTCATTTATTTACATTGAAACACATCTGCCACTCAGTTTTTGCAGCCTCTACAGAGCTTCTCTCCAGAGGGCAGACACCTCCAAGGGCTGTTCAAACACACTTTCTAGATTTCTGGTCCCAGGGAAGGCTGAGGGCACCACAGATGTTAGGGGGAAATTCTTCACTCAGGGAGCAGCGAGGTACTGACACTGCTACTCAAAGAAGCTGTAGGTTCCCCATCTGCAGAGGTGTTCAGAGACAGGTTGGATGGAGCCCTGGGAAGCCTGGTGTCTGATTTAGTGGTTTGCAACCCTGACCATGGTTTTTAAGGTCCCTTCTAAACCAAACACTTCCATGATTGCATGAGCCTCATCCCATTGCTGCCTGCCCCGTATATAGAGCTGGTTTTACTCAGCAGGCCAGCATCACTCATTACTTTCTCTTGATTTGAGTTGGATATAAAACCAGTTCTTTTGCATACTGGCTCAAACATTAAACCCGCCTGTGCAGTCTGGCAGGGCTAAGGGAGAACGTGATGTCATGGGGTTTAATTCACATAAACTCTCTTCGTGGTCTTCTCTTTGTATCGCAGGAGAAATACAGCAAGGAGGTGCTTGGATATGATGTGAGGAGCAGTTAGATGGAACAAGACATGTCTTAGGAACCACTTCCCATCTCTGTGTTTTTATGCTCATGTCAAAGGGATGAGTTCTCACAGCAGCAGCCAGCAATTCATAGAGAGAGAGAAAAAAAAAAAAAAAAGGAAATACTTAGCTTGAAAGCCTAACATTTCTTTTCTTCTTTCCATTTATTTCACTTTCCAGAGACCGTTTCAGACATCGTTGGAGAAAAAGAGGTTTAAGAGAGAGCTGAGGTGTATTCTTTTATGTGACACATATGAATAATTCAATTTTCTGCCATCAATAGCTTGGCTTTCTCTAAATAAGCCATCTATCCAGGGGCCAGAAGAAAGAGTAACCAGTGTGTTAATGTGACAAATGATGTTTCTGGATAGCACTGTATTTGCACATGGGCTCTAACAGGAGGATATTTCAGGTAGAAACTATCACATATTACATATTCCACTGCCACCACACTTTACATGTTGTCTGTCTATTAATTGTGATGTAAAGGACTCATAAGATATAAGAATTCTAGAGATACTTAAGTACAGAATTGTTTGATTTCAAGGATTGGCAGAAAAAGAAGTTTAAATCTTTGATAGAACACACAGCATTCTGCTTTTGTGCCTGGTGAATGCTGGAGCAAAATGGGGCTGTATGTGCTAATAAGAACTGTTTCAGAGATGGTTTTCTTAGCAGATTATGATTTCTATATGCAGTCTGAACAGCACTACACCAGGACCTGAGGAACAGTGCTGGTAAGGAAACACAAAAGTTAATGTGCCCACAGTGCTGCAGCCAGCAAACGACAGGATCACTCTGTTGCATGCATCCTGCTCCTCTGCCACATCTCCTGGGATTTTTCGGAGTCCCCAGACTTGGGGAGAGGAATAAGATGCCTTCTTGCAGGCAGGTTGTTGAAAACATTGATGATCTGAACAAACCCATTCTGAAGAGGATGGCAGGTAACAAAGCAGCAAGCCCTGCAGCCTGGCTGGGATGTCACCTCAAACCAGAGCCACACTGCTATCAGCCAAAACTGGCTTTCTCCAGAGAATGTGTCTGTGGCAAAGTTTTTTGCAGGAAAACAACAATATTTCCGGTTGTCAGAAGCCTAATGCTCTTCAAAAAACAAACACTGGCAGAAACACACTGAGCTGCAGAGTCCATAAAAGCTGCTCCTTGCATGCATCCATAGACTCCAGTTAAGTGTTACACAGTGAAGCTCATTACAAAGGGCTGTGTTAGATTTTTCCATATGTCCAAACAACTAAATACCCAGCTGCAACACCCGCTAGGCAGGTGCTTTGCATGAACAAGTCAGTGCCAAAAAGGGAACAACTCAGCTCCAAGTTTGTTCTGTCCCCCTGAAAGACTTTCACAGAGATGCTCAACTTGGGAATCCACTCACCTTGCCTGGGTATGCAGGGCAAGGTGGTAGCCCCAGCTTTCAAGAGACCAAAAGACAACAGCTTTTCTGCATGAAGCTTCTCTCTTTGCTGCTAAATCTTGCAGAAGGATGATCTTTTTGTTGTTCTCCCCCCGAAATACCAAAGACAGCAGAGCCTTATGAGAACTGAGCTTCAATCTGCTCTTACACTATGCAGTTCCTATGAACTGTGGCAAGACAGTCAGTGTGGCAAGGTACTCAGCAATATGCTGTGCACCCTGGATGAGGGAAACAAATCCTTTGAGTCTTTCAGTGTAGAAGCAAAACCCTACACCTCTCATATATTATCCTCTTGCTGTTCTCCTAAATTCTACTCCCAGTCCCTGTACTGAACCTTTTCACTCCACTTTGAGTGCATTAGTAATTTAAATAACATTTGCTTCTTGTCAGTAATGGGTGGGAAAAAAGCATTCTACTGGACCAGATGCATGCTATGTGATTCAGATGCTGTATTTCTCATTTGAACAGATAGGCAATTTTTTATGTAGTTAATGATCCAGCATGGTTCATTCCCCTACTCAGTGATTGCTGTCCTCAAACAATTTTTTTCCATTCCTGGAAAAAAAATAAAAAGGATGTTCAGCTACATCTCCAGTAAACCTCTGTACTATCCAAGCCCAGGTGTCCCTCATGCATCTGGCCCTGTTGATACAGCATCTGTCTAAGATTGAGACCAGAGGAGCACATTTCTGCTGGTCTTGTTCACTTGAGCACATCTCTCCTCCTCTCCTCATCTTCCCATAGTACCAACTGCAGAATCTGGGCCTTCTTGGGTTGCCACCATTTACTCCACATGCTGAGAACCCTCATGCTGAGCTGAGCTACTCAGTAGGTTGTCAATGTGGGTCTGGTTTTGCAGAGGTGTGAAAACCAGAGCACAGCATTGGGCTGGCTATGCAGCACTGAAATACAGGCTGAAAATGGGCTAGAAGGAGAGGCTTCTAGCAATTCTAACAATGCACATGATTCCAGTCAAGTAGGTCCTTCCTCAGACATTGCCTCATTTTCTTCTCCTTCCTTCATTCTCCTGGTGGAGGAGAAATCCCAATTCAGAACAGAGGGAGCTGTGTGGATGCACACTGCATGCACACTTGCCTCCCCTGAGCACCTTGTATGTGTAGGTCAGGATGGGCATCCTCTGCATTATTCTCACCATAACACAAAAAGAAGGACCCTGGGAACATGATGCACACACTGTTACAGCATGTTAAAACATTTGCAGAGAGATGGGGAGATGAACTCTCCTTTCCCTCTGGAAATCTGGGAGGGGAAGGGCGATGTCCTTTCCCCAGACCTTCACTTTCATAGGAAATCTTTTCTGTGGAAAGTTGTTCCACATTCTGTGGTTCCAACATATTAAGGGCCCTACATTGTAAAGACACTTTAAAAATCCCACCAAGAAAGGAGAAAATATTTTTGGTACAAAATATTTTTTCGTTGTCCTGCATATTGTCCTGGTCTTTTTTAGCCCATTCTCTGACAATTGGCTCAAGAAGGTCTTGCTGGATTTGGTTTGACAATAATCATAAAGTCATTAATGCTGGAAAAGATCACTAAGATCATTTATTCCAACCACCAAACCAACCCCACCATGCCTACTAATCAGATCCCTCAGTGCAATAACCCTACAGCTGTTGAACATCTCCAGGGACTCCACCACCTCCTTGGGCAGCCTGTGCCAGTGCCTCATCACTCTATGAAGTTTTTCCTAATATCAAATCTGAACCTGCCCTGGTGCAACCTAAGGCCATTACCTCTCATCCTATAGAAAACAAAGTATTTTCTGCCTCAGTCTTAGGCCAGATGTGACAATACATCATTAGGCAGTTTCGTGCCTCCTGCAGTCACTTGCATCACAACCACTGCGTGAGGAAAGCTAGAGAAAAAAAAAAAAAAAAGCAGCATTTCAGCCTTTTGTTTTGATTTAAAAAAAATGAGGCTTCCCATAGCCAGCTTTGAAATGCTATAGAAGGGCGTGATTTGAGCTAACACCACTACAGGCCTCAAAGAGAAACTTCCAGTCTCCCTGTGGAGGTATTGAATACCGCATTACCAGCACGCGCTGTGAAAAGCACCTCTCTCTGCTTACCTGAGCAATACAGAGAGAACAGAATCAAAGAGAAGTCAGCCCTCTTGCTGAGCTGCCCCTGCGCAGGGCAAGATGCTGATATTAAAGGAGGTGGAAATAGAAGTTTTAGGACCTATTAGTTTTCAATGGAGAAAACCCCACAAGAGAGAAACATGGGAAAATATCTTCCTGAACTCCTCTTGGACATTCAGGTTGAAGCAATGTTTTTGCTCCAGTCAGCCAAATGGGCTTTGCTACCTTAGGAGTCTGTGACTAATGCTGAGAAAGTTTGGGGATCTGCAACAGCATGGGCACCCTCCACTCCCATTGGCAAATAAAATGTGTTGTCTTTGGGCAGCTAGTGCAGCCAGGATTTTCTGAAGTAGAAAATGCACCATTTAAGAAAGAATGAAGTTGATTTCTAGTATGCCCCATTTGGAGAACAAAATTTATATTGCTTTAGTGTGACCAATTAATGAAGAACAGGAACCTAAAAGAAAACATTGCATTTGGAATCTAATGAAGTGTTTCACTCCATCAGAAAAAAATCTTATTCATGTGCATAGGATTTGTTGTGGCTAGACACCCGAAGAGTCCTGGTTTTGTGTTCACAGATGGACAGGTTTAATGTTTGAGTCAGTATGCAAAACAACCAGGTTTATATCCAACTCAAATCAAGAGAAAGTAACAAGTGATGCTGGCCTGCTGAGTAAAACAAGCTTCATGTATGGGACAGATGCTTCAGGCCTCGACTTTCGCAGTGTTTAAGCGTATGGGTCTTCTTTAGTTTGTGACCAGCCCACTCAGAGGCAGGAATGCCACCGGCACTTCTGCCATTAGCCTCTGCAGAGCCAGGGCTCTACCCTGCAACAAGTTGAGCAAATGTTCCCTGTCCTGGCTTGAGGAGAGAGCAATACATCTGATCCCATGAAAACCAGCACCCAAAAGCCGTACACTTCAGCCCAAACATGACCTCCCCCCCACAGATCCCATGTGACATCTGACCTCTAACTCCTGGAAATCCTCCTCCTCCTCCACATCATAGGAGAGGGTGTGAATCTTGATGTCATCTGCTGAGAGATCGATGAATTTGCTGTCTGGGTACTCCAGGCTGTCCTTGGTAGGGGAGCGGTCCTCAATGAATGTGGTTTCACAGCACTCTGAGTTGATGCTCTCACCCCACGAGCGCAGCACGTTCTCCGAGTAGAGGATGATGTTGGGACGGTAATGGGACTCCACGGTCTGCTGCAGCATGTTGGGATCCAGGAGCTGCTGCACGGGGTCATTCCTGCCATTCTCCAGGCAGCTCGGGGAACTCCCCGCCCGGTGGCTCTGATATTGTGGGGTTGGGTACACTGACACCAGACCATCTCGGCTCTCTGCTACTAAGTTCCTTGTATTAATTAAACCATTCCTTTTCCCAGCCTCAGCAATCTTATTGTGCATGAGCACATTGTTCTGCTCAATCAAACCATCCATACTGGGAGGTGTCAGAGAGTGCGATGGTGGTCTGTATTATATTGTACTGTAGATACAGGTCACACTGGGGCAGTGGCCTCCATTTTCCTGAAGAAAGAAAATAGACACCAAGGTGAGAATGTAGGTAATGAGTAACACTCGAAAGCACCCAAATCAGCTTGTCTTTTGTACTACCTCACGAGAAAATATAGCCCCATATATGTGCACACCTTGACCTAACTGTCCAAATATATCCCCATTTGAAAAGGCAAACAACTTATAAAATACCAGGAGGTGAATAGGAACAGGTGGCAGAGGGCTTCTCGAGATGTCTTGGTAATGGTGGGCCATGTCAGAGGAGGGCTACGAACTTCCTCCATTTTCACATATACCCTACAGTCATTCTAAGGGCAATGTTCCCTTCCTTTGAATGCTCTGATAAGAGAGATGGGGAAAAACAAAACAAAATACAAAGATAAAAGACAAAGAAAGCATTTTCAGTTCTGGAAAAGCTGCAATTACGAAGGGCAGGGCAGCTGATGCGTTCAGCTGTCATTCTCTGCAGCCAACCTTCAACCTTGTCAAGTGATTTGATGCCCCTTCAAAACTCAATTGCAGGAAAAACAAGGAGGCAGCTCTCTTTAAATTAACTTAAAAAAAAAAAAAAAAAAAAGCCACTTCCTCCACAGCCTCAGAGACTGACCTGTGGTGACAGAATTAAGGTCTGTGATGAGGCCAGTCAGCAGGCCCAGCCCCATCCAGATTCACCTAGAAGAGGCACAATTTCTTGACCCCCAGGACCTGGTTGTTGCATTTTTACAAAGGAACAATGACTGTTGTCTATTTCTTCAGAAAACCAACCCAGCTTTACTTTGTGCGGACTGCACTAATGTATGAAGATCAGAGATAGTTCGAAAGGTTAAAAGTACTGTTTCCCAGCTCAAATACTTTCTTACTGTTTTTGCTCAGGTGCAACTGAAAGAAAGTACTTTTTGAAATGTGGATGTATCCATCACAGCAACAATAAGCCTCTAGCTTGCAAGAGACATTTAAACCATTAAGAGCTGCTCTTCTGCTCTTACACCAGGAACAAAGCAAGAAACTCTTCTAATGGACAAAAAAAAGCTGACCTAAGTGTGTTGCAGCACCTGCATTCATGGCACTTGGTTTAATATGTAGAAAATCTATTTTACTGTATCAACAAATAGTTTAGAAGTTGTTCTAGGTGAACTGACAGGAAAACTGCACAAGTGAAGATACACCACAGTGGGATCCTGTGGAATTTACACTGTACTACTCTCAGCCCCAGATTTGGGGAACCTGTTGGCAAAATCACACCAATGTGCAAATTAGCCTGGAAACTTGGACTGTTTCCCCAAAGGCTTAGTCCTAAAGACTTAAATCCCTCTTAGGAGCAAGTGGCCTGTCTTTCCAAAGAAGCCTTCTTTCCTTGTGTGGCTATGTCTGAGCTAAATGAATGGAGGGCCATACTGTCCTTCCATTCATAGTGGGATTACACTGAATAATTAAGCTTGTGCCAGCACAGACATATTGGTAAGGTGTAGCTGCTTTTGCCTCAGGACTGGTGCTCACAGAAATACCGTCTTCCATTCTGCAAACATAATGACCTTACAGTGCATGGTCTCCTGTAGGCTACTGAGCAGCCCTGTTTCCATCATTTAGGAGTCCCCAGAGCGGAGACTAGGTTCCAGTGGAAACTAGTCACAAACTAAGTTGAGAAAAGCTGTTTCTTTATCCAGGTTTGGTGGGGTCACTTGCTTAGGTGATCCATCTGTCATCTAACAGTTCGCCCACAGTCATTCCTGTTCCTTTCCCTATCAAAGAAAGGAAGAGAAAATACTTCACCAAAAATTGCTGATTAAAACTCAGCAAGTAAGTTCTCTCAAGTCTTCGCTGGATTCCCCTTGAGACAGCACAGAAAGCGTGTAAGGCTCCCTGATGTGGCACAGACTGTTAATCCTGCTAAAGTCAGAGAGACTTCACTTGGTACTGCAAACCTTCTCAGAAGCATTCTCAGCCCCTTGTTCAAGCAAGCTGAGGTCAGCAGAAAATTTGCTGTGGTACTGCCACAGATGTAGTAATAGGAAGATATACAACCCAAACAGACCCCCTCCCAGAAAAAAAAAAAAAAAAACAACAACAAATAAACAGAGCAGTAATTTGGTCACTACATCAACAGCTGAAGCAAAGAATGTTTAGGTCTTGTATTCTGATGTGCTCACATAATTCCAATAAATGTGTACTGCCTGACTTGAGTAGCACTTGAAGATGTCTTTTAAAGCAGCTTTATCTGACAGTGCCTTTGAGCTGCACTGTCAGATTCCCTTCATGTTTTTTCTACATTCACATATCATCCAGATAACGCTTGACTTTGGAAATGCAAGTTTCACCCCAGGCATTTCATTGACAGCTATGCCATCTTCATGGAAAATTCTCACTCTGAATTGGCGCAAATAAGGATCTGCACACATCATGACACCAGAGCTAGCTGCTACATTTTCCTCATGTAATTTTGAGTAGTAATCTTGCTCCATCTTGGGAGGGCTGGACTTTGAGGAAAGGTCACTGTTACCTCTTTAAAGATGCATGGGACACTACAAAGTCATTGGAAACAAAAAGCCATCCTTTAGTTCTTCTCACAGTCCTCAAGAGCAAGAGGAAGCAAGTAAAGAGAAGACACAGGGAAAAATGCTTCAGCATGTCTAAGTGACATGAGACATGGAAGCACTTCAGGAAGTCAGTAGGATTGCATTGTTAGGAATTAATACTGTCCCAAGCCACTCCTTGCTTTCCATTGTTCATCAGCCTGCGTGAGACAGGAGTCAAGCCCCTTTTGTAAGTGACTAATTACATGGAAGATATTTGAAAAGGTAACCTAACTTCAAAGTCTTTGGAGTGTTGACAGATAGGATGCCATAAAGTCCTGAGTAAAAACTGCTCATGACACTTTTGCAACTCTACAACTGATATCTCTACTATTCCAAAGACCTAAGGGCAGCTATGTGCAGATTCCCTAGTCATCCATACCAGTAAAGTATTAGCACAGCCAACAGCCTACTCTGGCTTCAGCCTATGCCCTCTCCTAGGCAATATCCACCCTGAAGTAAATAAGTGCCATGCACGTTCCTCAGAGGCATAAAGGACAAAACCACCTAGTTTTGGTAGGTAAGAATTTCATGGTATGGACACAGCCATAGAATCATTAAGGTTGGAGAGACCACTAAGATCACTGTGACCAACCATCACCTCATCCCCACCACATCCCTCCATAACACATTCCCACAGTTCTCGGACACCTCCAGGAACAGCAACTCCACCAGCTCCCTGAGCAGCCTGCGTCAGTGCATCACCACTCTTTCTAAGAAGAGATTTTTCCTAATATACAACCTGAACCTCCCTAATGCAATTTAAGGCCATTACCATCATACCAGTCAATGCTGGACTACTTATCTTGCAAATAACAGGATGGATCTTAGTCTCACTCAGTAGACAGGAGACAGCCTGTGGTGTTTGCTTAATCCTACCATGGACCTAAGCATTTATCTGTCCAGTGCTACCTGATGTGCATTTAAACCAGTCTAGCAAACCAATTTTGCAGATTCTGAATGACACTTACCCCTGGGATGGGGGAGGGAGGAAGAAAGTATCTGAAACAAGGAAAGGACAAAACAAGAGACATCCTTCCCACACATAGCTCCTCCAGTAATATGGCAAATGCATCACTCAAGACATTCTCTCTGGGGTCCCACATAGCAGCACAGCCTGCATGCCTCAGGGAAGGTCAGGAAAGAGAGATGTGGATGGCAGCATTCAGTCAAGGAAAATTGTTTATCCCTCATGTCATTTTGCTAGTTGGCTACTTTACCACAGCCTGACCCAATGTTCTCAGCCCTGCAACTGTTGGGCTTAATGGTAAGGAGCTGGTGAGACTCTTATACCTTTCCATTATACCACATCAATAGCTAATAATAATAATAAAGTGGTATTGATTTTTCTTTTCCAGGTGAAAATCCTGAGCAGCTGGCCATTAGGTTTAAATCAATAGCACCTTGATTGCAAGTGCGTCTTGATGCACAGCTGAGACAAGGTCAATTGCTGTCTGGGGAAACTGAGAAACTGTTGAGACACCCAGAGATTCCTCATCAATAAAAAAAAGTGGGATTAAGAGTGCTGTCAGCCAGAAACAAAATCTCACATCCTCACTGATAAAAGTGAACCTCCTCTGGGTTTTTCACTCCCCAGCCACTGGCTGAAGAAAGTAAAATCACATTCCCAAGTCCTTTGTTTCCTGTTGCAATCCTGGTGCTGGTGGGAGAATTAGACTCATAGTTTGGAATTCATTTCACTTAGTGCAGGTACTTGAGGATGTTCCACAGGAAAAATTAATAGCAATTATGCAAGGTGCATGGGACAGGACAACACAGTGCACCCATGCATTAAAACCAGAAAGATTAATGCAGTAGAAGGGCAATACAGGAGAGTAGCAGCTAAGGGACTAGCATGAATGGAACAGTGTTACAAAAGAAAAGGGAAGGTGCTCACCTGTACCCAAAGATCAAGGCTCACAGGAAAGACTCCACAAGGAAGGGATCTCCAGCAAGAGAACCTTCCTCAGTGACAGTCAGCCCTTAAATGGGATCTAAGAGAGGTGCAGCCAGGCTCCACCCCCTGCCGGTCACACAGCTGAATTGCCTTCACCTGTGCTCCCAGGCCTGACCGATCCTTTCTCCAGGTGATCAATCAGTGGTTCAGGCTGTAACTCAACAGTCCCCATATACCACACCATCCTTCTGTTAAGGGCTTTTCCTAACCTGGGCCAGACTTGTATTTGTGACTCAGATGTGTAGGTAGGAGCTGCCATGAAGACCATCCCAGTTTCCAGCTCCAGCTGAAGGATTCTGGATGGCAGAATGACTGAGCAGACAATCTGCAATAGGCATCTGAAGGCAATCAAAGGATGCCTTCTCTGCAGGGAGCCAACACTCAGAACAAAAAGAGCCACTCTCATTGCCTTGGACCGCAGAAAGTCTTCAAAATGGTGCTGACAGGAAAATGAAACTCATCAGAGCCCTTTAAATAAGAGAGCAGTTCAATTTGCTCCAAGATGCAGAGTTAATTTAACTGGGTTGGTTCAGGTTTCATTTGTCTTCACACAGTTTGAGTTTCTCCCCACAAATCACTCACTGGTGCTCAGGCCAACCAGAAATAACTCTGCACTTTCAGACTTGAGGCTGGAACCAGAAGAGAAAACCAAGTTCAAGATGATGACAAATACTAGGTCAAACTTCAATCTATTTTTTTTTCCTTGGGGATTAAAAATTTTCACCCAGGTTTCCAGCATTAGAAGCAAAGCTATTCATTATTTCAAGTTGTTTGTTTTTTTTTTTAATCCTCTATTTCTTGTTTGTTTGGTTTGGTTC